ATATAAACAGTACTAAAAAAGTAAAAACTAAAAAAAACTCTACCAAACAGGCCCTTAGTGTTCCCAAGTTCCCATATCTTCCTACATTTCCTTTAGATCTCAAGCTCCCTTACCTCGCTACCTTCTTTCTCTTCCTTTCTCTCCCTTTCTCTCCCTTTCTCTCTTTTCTTTTTTAGTTTCCATTTTTTCAAGGAGAGGGGGCATGGAGGTGTTGTTGGGGGTGAATGGTATGGTTGTGCGGCAGTTCGCTATTAATTTCGGGGTTGAGGTGGGTGAGGGACAAGTATGGTTAAAGGTGGAGAATGATGGGTGTTCTTTGTCAACTTCAATCTTCGTCCTAGTTGCAAATAAGCTATGTATTTAGTTTTTCATTGCTGCGTAGAAATATTTGGATCGAATTATGTAATTTTCGGTTTATGGGTTTGTGGGGTTTCATTGCCTTTGATGATATGGGTTAATAAAAGTTGTTGCTTTGAATGATTTGGTTTTGATGGTTTTAAAGTATTACTATTATATTGTATGATATAGTGGATGAATTTTATATGAAATGAGAGGTTTAGTTTATTCTTGATAAGAATTATATATGAAAATACAGAAATTCACTAATTCTCCTAAAAAAACTGCAAAACTTGTGATTTTTAAATTATAAGTAAAAAGTAAAGATCTCAACCCCATTAACTTATCTCTGTATACTCCCAACAATGCCAACAACCTAAAGCAACAATAAATGAAAAAAAATTAAAAAATTAAATTCGTTGTTTTCAATCAAATTATTATTTTTTGAGCATTTGGAATTGGGTTGAATAAAACAACTTAATTGCCAAATTTAAGAAAACCCAATTCCAAATGGGAAAAGATTTTCTTGACTTCGGGGTAATTATGGAGATTTCACACATACTTTATTTTTTTAATTAAGGATACTATTTTTTTAACTAATCAAAATTATCATATTTCAAAAGTTTATAATTAAAAATACCACACTTTTAATTTTATTATTTAAGAATTATTTAAATATCAATACTAAATTAACAAACAAATTTCGTTTGTGAAACCCACTTAAATTACTGACATGTCTAAAAAACAAAAATAGTTGCTGACTTATAACTAATTTGAACAATGTTACTGAAGCATCAACGGTACAATAAAGGCCTTGACGCTAATGTATCAAAAGGAGCATTCAAGTTCTTAACAGATGGTGTCGACACTAACAAAGGTGATATCAGTACCCAACCCGTGTTGGGGTTCGGGATCTTTTGCAATTTTTTAATAGTAAAATAGCACATCTATATTCTTTTTGTTCTATATTATGAACACTTTGATACCTGAAATTCAACTTTATTTATTAGGTGCATGACTGCAATCTTTTTTCTTGCAATTTAGTCCCTCAATTTTTCAAATAATTGTCACTTAAGTCCAGCAATTTTCTTTATATTCAAGTTACTTTTAACAAATAATAAAAATTATATAAAATCCATACATAAAAAGCTGTAGAATTTATAGACTAATTAAACTCAACAAGAGATATTATATAGGCTTATTAAAATCAATCTATTATTTAAATATATCATATAAACTATTCTAAACCAAAAATATATAACTTAAAATAAGAGTTATAAACTCTAAAACCATATAAATTGAACTTTCTTTAATAATATTTACACCCCTGCAAAGCGGGTTGGGTCAAGCTAGTTCTCCTAAACCAAACATCTTCCTCTCCTCTCGACAGCCCCTGTCTCTTTTTCTTCTTAAAAAAATGCAGCGACCCCTAGAAAGATGCATGATGATCATATTGTTGTGGGCGATCATATGGGTGTTTTTGTTAATGGAAGAGGGAGCTAATTCAGATAAGCAGCTCAATCTGCTCAACTCAGTCTGCAGTCAATAACGTCACTAACGTTCAGGACTTCCACGCAAACCTGAACGCCACGTTCCTCAAACTCAGGGCGGAGCTCGTAGGCAGCAACAACTTCGCCACGGCTGACGAAGCGCCCGATTCCGGCCCCACCTACGCCGTGGTGCAGCGCAGAAACCAAGTCTCCCCTTCAGACTGTTTGGCTTGTTTTGACGCTGCTTCCGTTAAAATGTGGAAATGCTCCGCCGCCAATGGGGTCCGCGTCATCTACGACGGTTGCTCTCTCAGGTACTTATAATTAAGAACTTAATTGATGTATTTCATTCCTATGCATTTTTTGACACCATGCCCTTATGTGAGTGCAGAAGGTCTTCCATTCAAATGTTATATCATGCGTAAAGTATACATCTAGTCAATCACAATTAGTTCAACAAGCTCATTTTAGACTTGAAGAATATCGATGTGAAGATAGAAGATAAAGACCAGGCAATTATTGTTTTGTGCTGATTGCTTGACTTTTATGACAACTTTGTTGAAACCCATCTTCATAGTAGAGATCAACTCTCTATGGAAGATGTCAAGGCAGCCCTGAATTCAAGAGAATTGAAGAAGAAGGTGTCCAGAGACAAGAGTGGTGATCAAGTAGCAAGATTGGTCATAAGAGGTAGACAAAATAATAGAACTTTCAACAAGTGAGGAAAGTCTCGATCCAAATTGAGAGCCAAGCATGCTCGATGTTACGAGTGCAATGAGATGGGACATTTCAAGAAAAATTGTCCCAAGCTCAAGGAGAAGAAAGCTGAAAAATTCGGTGATGCCAACATTGCCAGTTGCAGTGATAATTTAGATGATGGAGATTGTGTTCTATCTGTCTCTACAAACTCCTCCAGTGAGGAATGGATTTTAGATTCGGGTTGCACATTCCATGTATGCCCACAACGTGACTGGTTTGAAACATATAAACCAAACACTGGCACAGTGGTTCTTGGTGATGATACAGCATTACCTATTGTTGGAATTGGCAACATCCGGATCAAGATGTATGATGGGATGGTCAGAACATTCGATGTTCGTCATGTGCCGGATTTGAAGAAAAATCTCATTTCCATGAGTGAGCTTGACTCCAAGGGCTACCGATACTCCTGTGTAGGTGCAGTTCTCAAAGTCTCTAAAGGAGCTCTCGTAATATTAAAGGGGAAGAAAGTTGGTGGTCTTTATTACTTACAAGGAAGCACAGTCAATGGCACATGTGCTGTGTCAACTTCAAGCAGTCCAAATAAAGATGTAACTCGGTTATGGCATATGTGACTTGGGCATATGAGTGAAAGAGGGATGATGGAGTTGAGCAAGGGGGTCTTCTATGTGGCCAGAAAATTGGCAAGCTAGACTTCTGTGAGCACTATGTTTATGGCAAGCAGTGCAGGTTGCAATTTGGCAAAGAAGTTCATCGAACTCAAGGCATAGTTGATTACATTCACTCAGACTTGTGGAGTCCCTCACCTGTTGCATCAAAAGGTGGAGCTGTATATATGTTGATTTTCATCAATGATTATTCAAGAAAGGTGTGGGTATACACCTTAAAGAGTAAGAGTGACATGTTCCTGACCTTTAAGCAGTGGAAGACGCTGATTGAGAAGCAGACTGGAAAACAAATCAAGCGTCTAAGAACAGATAATGGTCTTGAGTACTGTAGTGGTGAGTTTGATACTTTTTGCAAGAATAATAGAATTGTAAGACATCGCACTGTCAAGATGACACCACAGCAAAATGGTGTTGCAGAAAGGATGAATCGTACACTTTTGGAGAGGGCACAGTGTATGCTCTCAAATGCTGGATTATCAAAGGACTTTTGGGCAAAAGCTGTCAATCATGCTAGCTATCTTGTAAATCGGTCTCCATCCACAGCAATTGGATTAAATACTCTAGAAGAATTATGGTTAGGTTCTCCTGCTGATTATTCACAGTTGAGGATATTTGGTTGTCCTGTGTATGCTCACGTTAAGGATGGTAAACTTAAGCCAAGGGCAGTGAAGTGCGTATTTCTAGGGTACGCTTCCTGGGTAAAAGGCTATAGACTGTGGTGTGTTCAGAAGTCACTTCGGTTCCTCATAAGCAGAGATGTAACCTTTGATGAGTCTACTATGCTCCAAAAAGCAAAAGAGGAGTCTATAATTGCAAAGCCAGACCATGGAGTTAGCAAGCAGGTGGAGTTTGAAGCAATAACTCCAAAAAAGGCAGTGCGGGACGACAGTATTATCCAAGAGAATCTAGATGAGGTGCAAGATCCAGAGCTAACAGATACTCCAATGGAGGTGGAGGCACCTAAACAAACACAACAGCAGTATAATATTACTACTGGTAGACAGAGGAAAGAGACCAAACCACCTTAGAGATATGGCTATATAGATTATGTTGCCTATGCTTTATCAGTTATAGAACCAGTGGAGGCTGAGGATCCCAACAATTATCGGGAAGCAATTACCAGTAAAGAATCTCCTTATTGGCTTGCTGCCATGACAAAAGAGATTAAGTCTCTACATAAGAACCAGACATGGAAGCTTGTGATGCCACCAAAGGGACAAAGAATTGTTGGATGTAAATGGGTCTTTAGGAGAAAAGAAGGAATCCCAGGGGTAGAGACAACCAGATTCAAGGCCAGATTGGTTGCGAAGGGTTTCACACAACGATAGGGTATTGATTTCCATGAGGTATTCTCTCCTGTGGTGAAACAAAGCTTTATCCATGTTTTACTTGCCATGGTTACTTTATATGATCTTGAGTTAGAGTAGCTTGATGTAAAGACCGCTTTCTTGCATGGTGAGTTCGAGGAACGGATTTATATGTCTCAGCCAGAAGGGTTCATAGTCTCAAGAAAAGAAGATCATGTTTGTTTGCTCCAAAATTCCTTATATGGATTGAAGCAATCACCTCGGCAGTGGTACAAACGATTTGACAACTTCATGGTTAAAAGTAGATTCACTCGGAGCAACTATGATAGTTGTGTCTATCATAAAAGGCTTAGAGATGATTCTTGGGTTTACTTGTTGTTGTATGTTGATGACATGCTTATTGCTGCCAAAAGCATGTTAATCATTGATGAGTTGAAGAAGCAGCTTAGTGGTGAGTTTGAGATGAAAGACTTGGGTGTAGCTAAGAAGATCTTAGGAATGGAGATTCACAGGGACCGCAAGGGAGGTAAATTTCTCTCTCAAAAGAAGTACATTGAAAAAGTACTCGAGCAGTTTGGCTTACATGAAGCTAAGGCTGTGACTACTCCTTTGGGAGCACATTTTAAGCTTTCATCAAATTTGTCACCAGAAATGGAGGAGGAGAAGAAGTTTATGGCACGTGTTCCTTATGCGAGTGCTGTTGGGAGCTTAATGTATGCTATGGTATGTACTCGTCCTGATATTTCACATGCAGTTAGTGTGGTTAGTCGGTATATGGCTAATCCGGGTAAAGGACACTGGGAAGCTGTGAAGTGGATCCTCTGGTATTTACAAGGCACAACAGATGTTGGACTAGTCTATGATCGGAGTGCTAATCCAAGTGGAAATGTAGTCGGATTTGTCGACTCTGATTTTGCCGGTGATTTGGACAAAAGGAGATCAACTACAGGATATGTCTTTACTCTCTCAGGGTGTGCCATTAGTTGGAAAGCTACATTACAATCAACAGTCGCCTTGTCAACAACTGAGGCAGAGTACATGGCAATTACTGAGGCAGTAAAGGAAGCATTATGGCTAAAGGGTTTGGTCAGTGATCTCAGAGTAGAACAAAATGAGATGATGGTGTTTTGTGATAGTCAAAGTGCCATTCACTTGACGAAGAACACCATGTACCATGAGAGAACCAAACATATTCAAGTTCGGTATCACTTTGTTCGGGAGGTTATATCCAATGGAGATGTGCTCGTTGAAAAGATATCAACTGACCAGAATCCTGCGAATATGATGACAAAGCCGGTAAGTGGAATCAAGTTCAAGCATTGCTTGGACTTGATTAGTGTCCAAAGTGCTTAATGCCCCTCGGGGCATTATGGCACCAAGGGAATGAAGCTATTGGTCCTGAATCTTATTTTTTTCGAATGCTCGCCAAGGTGGAGATTGTTGAGGCATGTGCGTTCTGCATGGTAGTTGAGAAAAACATGCAAATTTCAGCCTTTGAAATTTGGTTGCATGAGAAATCTTGTGGCAGTCAAAAAGTAGTTGAAAATGCATGCAAAGTGCAGAGTTGAAAGTGATGGTTATTTGGCAAGAAGGTGCAGTCGAAAATCTGTCGAAAATCTTGACAAAAATGGATTTTGCTTCTGCATGTTTCCATGAAATTAAAGGTTAAGACTTTGAAGGCCATTGCATTTATCGTGCATGGTTGGATTTTGACCTTACAGCCCATTTCATTAATTTTGGGCGGTGGATTTTTGGCTATAAAAGCCATTAGGCCATTCGGCAAATCACACCAAGAAAGAGCAATCCAAAGCAAAGTAAGCTCTAGAAAATACAAGAGTTTTGTTAGTGCTTTGGGAGAGGGTGAGCAAGAGCAGAGTGATTAAAATTACTTTACTGAGTGTTTTTTGAGTGTATCTCGTATTCAAAAATATTGTGAATAAGATTTGGGTGTAATTGGAGATTGGGTATTTTTTCTAAAACTACCACAAATTGTATCTCCCTATTTTAATAGTGAATTTTTCCTTGTGAGTGCCCGTGGACGTAATCTCAATTAAATTGGAGCTGAACCACGTAAATTCTGTTTTTTTTGTGGTGGTGCATTTTTTATTCCATTAATTTCTTAATTTTGTAGTGGGTTAACCAAAACCTCAAGCAATTTATTCCAACAGTTTTGTACTTCAAAGAAATTCAAGCCTACAAGATTTCTTAATCTTGAAGGGATTTCTCCAAATATGTTATTACCTCCGAGGCCAAGTCCCATTAGAGTGGTAGAGAGATTGGCTATGGAATCAGGCAATCTTCCCGAGAACTTATTGCGTGCAAGACCTAATGATTTCGGATTGCTACAGTTGGCCAAAGAACTGAAAAAGTTCATTTCATCAAATTCACCACTTCCTAGATGATTGTCACGCAAATTCAAATTTGAAAGCTGTTGAAGATGCCCAAAAGAAACTTTCACTTTACCAGAGAAATTGTTTTTATTCAGTTCAATCCTTTCTAGTTTTGAAGCATTGGATAGTGTTACTGGAATTTGCCCCCTAAAATAGTTTCCCCACATTTGTAACCGTGTTAGATAAGGAAGGGTGAGCCCTATGTCCCATGGAAGATCTCCTTCCAGTTCATTTTTAGCCAAGGAAAAAAAGGAAAGCATAGAAAGATTATAGATTGATGGGGGTACCTTACCCGAGAGGTTATTTCCTCCGAGTTGAAGCATTCTTAAGCTTCTCAATCGTCCTAGGGCATCTGGAATACTACCTCCAAAGTTATTGAAACGCGCAGAAAAATATATTAAAGATGTAAGATTCCCAAGGAAAGGTGGGATCCCTCCAGTGAATTGATTGTCATGAATAACAAGATGTGTAAGCTTGGACATGGAAGCAAGCTCCACTGGAAGTTTTCCTGTTAACCTGTTGCCATCAATGTGGAGGAGATTGAGGTTGGAGCAACCAGACAAGTTGGGTGGGAGCTTTCCTTCAAAGGAATTGTAACTCAGATATAGCCTCCGTAATCTGAATAAACGTCCGATTTCAGGTGGAATATCCCCATGAAAGCTGTTGTTTGAAAGTCTAATCTCATGAAGAAAGCTCAAGTTCCCTATGGAAGGAGACAAAGAACCCACCAAACCCTTGGATGATATATCCAAGATG